TGAGGTTGTCTACACAATCTAAATAAATATGACAAAAGTACCTATAGATATCTTGCACGCAATTGCTGAAATTGGTCACCAATCGAAATTTTTAGTCAGAACGTGTTGCTAACTTCGCTATTTTCTCAAATCGCATTTTGAGTACATTTTATATACCTGACGGGGGTAATGAGTTGAAGGTAATTCAGAATTAATAGCGATATTACGATTATCATGGAAGAAACACGACAGTTTTTATTACATATATTAAAAATATGTTCAATATCCAAAACTAGTAGGATCCCTAAGACACAATCTTCAAAAAACAGTAGGTACGTTATCGCTAGTAAAACAACGAAACCAAGGCAACTGCAACTACTTTGAACTTTTGCTTCTAATAATGTTAGAGAAGCCAATTTTTATATTTCTAATATTAATGTGAAAATCCATTTTCAATTTTTTACCCACTATAAACTACTTCGGGTTAATAAGGGAAAATGTTTGTTGCTGTTGTCACACCCTGCCCGGGAATCGAACCCGACATCTTTGGTTTTACGCACCTAAGCTCTAGCCACTAAGTTAGTTGTGGGTAAAAAAATTAAAAATGAATGAAATAAGAATTAGGTCATATTCTTATTTCTTCCCCGTATTTTAAGCTAATAATGTCAGAATCACAGTTATATCTCCATAATAGCTTTGATTCTGGTATGGTTAACAACATATGACAACCTTAATTTTAATTCAGAATGAATTCGCACCAGTTTTTGAAAGTTAGAATTTGTTTCTCCAAGTTGGCTACTAATTACTTTACAATTACAAAAACGGTTCGGGAAACTGTAGTTTACAATTTAATTATTACTTTAACGTACCTGTGTGGCTAGTTAGTTACACAGTTAACAACGCATAATTATCGGTTAATGATAAGTTGCTAAAAGAACTGAAAGTAATTTGTAGATAAATGCTTTTAGACGTTAATGTTACAATCATTTGCAACAACGTTTCAGAAAACGACTACGTACTATACATTAAAACTTTTCATTTCGACTGTCTTTTTAAAGCAGACATACCTCTAAACGGCCAGTTTTGAGATTTTTAAATAAAGAATCTTTAAATTATGGAACCGTGCTATCTATCATTTGAACTGCCCCATTTTGAAATTATTTTTTATTCCTACACCCTTTTTGAATTTGCTGCCATTTACTAGTATATCTACTATTACTTAAGACTTAGGCAATGTCAGAAAACAAACTATAATATCTGTTCGCCGATAATATAATTGTAATACATAATTAATGCCGCTAGATAGCAGGATGAATAATATAATTACTCGACATTCACTCGATATACACTTTTAACACAATCTTTTCAAATTAACTATGTGGTGATTTCTTGTGTGATTAAACTCTACTCGGTCATGCGCTACTCATTGTTCTGTCTCTGCTGCTTTTTTCGTCGTGGCTTATGTGACTTCCTAGAGAATACAGATGTACCTATACCGTGTATACTTGGTATGATCAAATAGAATACAGACCACTTCGAATTATTTTATTCGATTATGGTAACGTGCCTATCACGTTGAGGTGAGCTACGCCGGTATTCGTTTCAGCAAGTAGATATCCATATTTTTAAATGGACCTTGCTGGAGCATACGTAATCCTAAAATGTAGCATAATACTACAGATGGCGCTCACCACGCCATTTGTAGTATTTTCTAAAACGCGCTGTTAAGACAGCAGGTAAAGGTTGGTCTGTGTTCTGTCGGAGCTGCCTGCGACGAGCTGATGAGATCCAAAAAGATCGAAATCGCAATCCGCGTCTGGCAGTTTCGACAGAATACAGACCACTTCGAATTATTTTGTTTGACACCTATGTATATTATGTTGTAGTTGTAGTAAATTTGCGTAGCTCTCTTCTTCAAAAGCACTCACCCCTTTAATTTTCCTTAATAAAATCATTTATGATGAACCCAGCTGACAACATAAAGCAATTTACATTATGCTCTCCTCGTTTTTATGTATAGTACATCAGCTAAATTATCATTTCCCTTTCCCTTGCGATTTTATAAATAATTTTGTGTACACGTTTCCATAGTGTATGCTTTCTAAAGACATATTGTTGCGTGTTCAGGTATGCATACGGGAATTGCCTTTGTAACTATTTCAAAAGATAAAATTTAATCAGTTTGCAAGTAGTAATTATGTCCCACTTTCTTGTCGTTTGCTTAATTATGTATGAATTTTATTCATCAGTTAACTTAACATATTCTATGTAAGCCTTATTCAACAAGTGCACGCAAAACATTAATATTTTAAACCCAGTTTTTACTGTTTCATCCATTAAAATAATAACACATTACTACTTGCTACATATTGTTTTAATTGATCTTGTTAAAACAACTACTTACTAACAATTTATAACAAACTATATATAACTTAATACTTTCTTTTACCTTACGTCGTCCGTACGTATATCAAGCTAACACGACAATAGTTTTTATTTCTAAAAATTTGTTGCTCTAACCAGAAAATAGATGAGATGATATCCTACTATCAAAGGGCCAAGTTGTAAAAGGGTAAAGGTCAGGTGTAAGTCGAACTCACGCACTGAAGTTTCCGTGCTCGTCCCGTAGTTCGTCAGACACGAGAATTCGGTCTCGAAAATTTTTTCCGAGTATGTTTTAAATTTCTTCTCAAAATCAGTTCCCAAAACGTATAATTACAATATTACAATTAACATTTTTTTTTGTATTACAATACAAATTTACAGTTTTCGGATTTTCGGATTTTCTTGTTTATTGCCGAATTTCATATTTGTAAATCATTGGAAAACATCCTGTAGGTCTTGCTCTTGCGAGTATCAAAATATGCAGCATAAACGGTCGTATCTTTTGATTGCGTTGACTTAGAAGTTTGATTTTTTCAGAGCTGTAAAGGATTGTAGACCTGAACAAGGCATTCCTGAGAAAAAGGGTCTTAACAGGTAGACAGATGGACAACCAAATGATCCTTTAAGAGTTCCTTTTTTCCTTTTGAGGTACGAAAACTTAAAACTGGTGTAGAAGAATACTGTAGACTGAACTTATCCTTGAAAAATAGTACTTTTACCCATGTTGTTGCTAGTCTATCCTCCAACTGTACAGGGAAAAACAACTTGATGAACAAGATGAATTAGTAGAGGAAAAGTGTAAACTGTATCTATCAATTAATTCAGAATTGCTCATAAGAAGGAATAGTCTCTAATTTGACTAGCAATTCTACATCAATTGATACAGTTTACACTTTTCTTCTAATAGTCACCTCGAATTACGACTACACACAGTCTCGAACAAGTCAGCGAAAAACTCTTACAAAGCTATCTAGCAAAAGAAATACTTATCGACAATTTGTGGGCCTTATTTTAAGACAGATAGACAGACATTAAATTATAAGGACACTTTGTGACCTAATAATGTACAAATAACCACATGAGATTAGAAAAGGTGGTAACTTCAATATTACCGAAAGACATTTCAAATTTATTTATATGTCCCTAAGTACAGATTAGTGTATATATGATAGATATATGATGATGATAGGCATAGATGAAGTGTATAGTTTTATAACAAGTTGTACAAAAAATAGTATCCTAGTAAGTTATTCAAAATTGTCAAACGTCAAAGCACTAAGTATTCTTTCAAGAAATTTTTCATAAAAAAAAAATTATGGTTAAGTAAGTTTAAAGTAGCAGAGGCTTACAATTAAGCCCTTAAAAATTTTTGAAAGCCAGATTATTTAAAATCGTCAACTACTCTGGATCTGCCATTATGTGGAAAAGTTCTTGCCAATCGGGATTTAGTAAGATCCTTGTACTAGTTGTAACCTTTTTATTCGTCCTGTTGGTTTTTAACATATGGAGCAGCATGATTGATGGTTAACTTTGGTGCGAAACAGAAACTTAATAAATTGTACAATAATTTTACTTGTAACAAAAACTACATAATTAAAAAAATAACTGAAAAAAACAATTTATCGGAAGTATCATATATAATTCAATATAATTTCTCAAGTCCAGTTATTTGAAATACAGACATGCAATGTTGCTGATAAAAGTAAACAATGTTATTATTTATCATTAAATTACTCCACGTGTTTCGATATTTATAATCTGCGTAATTAAATTAATTAAGTTACTTTTACACGATTATGCAGATGCATGTCTAATGTAATTAGAAGTTTTCAATAACAACAAATGTTGGTGAGAATTGTTTAAAATGAGCAAAGCATTTATGACGTTAAACCTCAAGGTAAGTCATAAATAAACCTTATAGACTGCGTGAAATGTTTATATGCATCGATTTTGTGAAAATTGCATTTCTGTTTGCAACATATGTATTATTTTAAGATACTCGAATATAATTTTAGTACCTACTGATGCATTACCGCGGTGCATACTTCATCTCCTGTATTTCCTACACTGCACCTCGGTCCGTTTAAAACTTGGAAAGATGCCTTTAAATTTCATTGTTAACTCAGTGTTACGAAATGAAAACTAAGTGTTTACAGGCGGGCTAATTTACTCCTGGAAGTAATTTCAAAATCATAAATTTCTTACAAAATAAGACACTATGTCGCTAATTTAGCAATAATATTTCCTACATTTTAAATTAAAAATGAGATACTAATATAAAATTAATTTAAACTATTTATCCACCTTAATACGTTTTCTATTCCAATGTTGCGTAGAATAAATTTCATTTCAAACAAAATTATTCAATATTGCATTTATAATTACTAATTAAAAATTGTATTAAAATTGTAATTGTTTTAAGTGTACTCTATATTGTTTTCAATTTGAGCCATTTTTGGTACCAATTTATAACAATAGTAATTAGCTCATTATGACACAACTAGATATAAATGAATTTGAATTGGAGTAGGTAAATCCATAAAGTTAAGGAATGAAGAATGGAACATAAGAAAAACAATGAAATGTTTCAACGGTATATTAAGCTGAAAATTTTAATGTGAAAGAAAGCAATTTACCTGGCACTTAGGATATTGCTCCTCGAGAGGTCTTTCCACTTTCCATCCGAGCAAAGGCGGTATGCAAATGATAGCTGACATAACCCAAACGAAAGCAATCATCATGACAGCTCTTCCTGGAGTCCGTTTCTTCAAGTATTCAACAGCCTGCGTGATGCTCCAATACCGATCCAACGAAATGAGACATAAGTTCATAATGGAAGCAGTACAAAGCAATACGTCCATGGCTGAATGCACATCACACCACCAAGCACCGAAAATCCAATAACCCATGAGTTCGTTAGCTAACGAAAAGGGCATAATAACTAAGCCCAGAAAAAAATCCGCGACCGCCAGGGAAGCAATGAACCAGTTCTGAGTATTTTTGAGCGCTTTTTCCGTAGTAATGGCAATTATGACCAGCATATTGCCCACTACGACAACTATCATGATGATTGTTACCAGTATTGAGGCCAAGACGATCTGAGGCAAGGTGTAGCCGCTGGGATAGGTGTTCGTAAAGACGCTCCCGTTGGGATAAGTGCCAGTGCCGTTGGTGACATTGTCGCCAGCCAGCATAATGTTATCATTCAAAGATGAGCCGTTGATGAAGGCCATTGAGGCCGAATAAAAGTAAAATTATTGGTCCCTAGTCACACTATATACATTACCCGTTTACCCGAAATCAGCCCAAATCTGCGGCGGTTAGAACGTGAAAAACAAAACGTGTTTATCACCAAAAAACAACGAAGATACTATTGTACAACACTAGAATATAATATTGAAGGTACGAATCTACTACGGTTACGTGTTTTTTTTTTACGTTTTACATCGATTTAGTTGTTTAAGAACTATACTATTATTTTATGCGGTTGTTTATACTTCCTCTTTTTGTTGTTATTAAAATTAGTTTGAGTGACTCGGGAGCGCTTCTAATAGTAGTAGTTACAGTTGGTTTGTTTAGAATATCGTGTTGTTGTTGTAAATGTTGCGTGGCGTGTCAGGTGAAGGTGGTGGAGGAGACGCTTCGCGGTCGGCGTCGTCGTCGTCGTCAACGGCGGCCGTCGTCTCTTGTGCGCGGAGGATGCAAGAAGACATGTTACTCGGTCGCTCAACTGTCGCGCACTGTGCAGTCGGGACCAGTTTCACAAGCATGCGTCCCGACGATACGCGACGCGTCGCAGCGCGTTCTTTTCTCCCGTCCGCGCTTCCTCTCTTCTTTGCTGCATATCTCGCTTCATCCGACGACGCGGATGACGCCGCAGCGACGTCTCTCACTGCGCCCCATCAGCTTCATCTATTATACCACCTCATTCATCCTATTTTACTTTGCACACACTTCGACGGTATGATTTTCGAAATGGTTTATTCATATTTTACAGCCATTAAAGAATTCAACATTTCCTCAAAAACTCCCACTTTTCCTATCTATCCAATTTCCATTACCGTTCGTCCTTCGTTTACCCTCTGGATAATATTTATAATCCCCAATGTGAAATATGCTCCCCTTTATAAAATATACATACACACTGTAATATTCGTTTAGTAAGTATCACTTAGATAAAGATCTTTATGTTTACACTGAAGAGATAAGATTTTTAAAAACTTACACTGGGAAAAAGTAGATATTTTTTTTCTTTTATATTGTTTTCATTAATTGATAACAACATCGTACATAGTACATACAATCGTACATTCGTAACTCAATCTTCTATAACTCAAAATTTCAACCTCGTTAACTCGAATTTCTCCATGTTCCTACCTAGAATGTTTCTCAAACACATTCCACATTATAAATCCTTAATTGAAACATCAGCCATCTTAAATTTTCACTGCGGCGCTCAATATTATTTTATGGAAAACAGCAAAAGGTTAGCATCATCATTTCTTGCACTCAACTTTTGGTATTACAGAAATTTGACAGTAATATGTACTATGCATATACTTACTGTAAACCTGTAAACCATATATATATATGCATACATTTCGAAAAAAACAACAAAATTGTGTAGGGGCGTCATCATTTAAAGTCCATGCAATCTGTTTGGGTTGTGTACTTTAGCAATATACCCAGAAACTATTGTTACAGTTTCTGTATTATTGCGTAGCACCTAAAATTAATTAGACGCCACAATNCAATTGAGCACAGGAATCTTTCATCTTAACTATATTCTCAGAATTTCTTCCATAGCTTCATTCTACATCATCTAGACCAAGTTTCAGCCACATTTGTTTTATTAATAGTGGTTAATATGAAATATTAATGTGAAAATTCATTTTAAATTTTCCATCCACTTTATTAACTAAGTAATCGACGTTGATAAAATCTTAAATCGGAAGGCGAAACGTCGGTAGAAATTACATAATCAATAAAGAACATTTCACCCTGTACTGGGTGTTTCTAATTAAAAAAACATTAAAAAGTGTATCAATGGGGAAGTTAGTAGAATATTGAAAATTAAGCTTTGTGCGAGAATGCAAATTAAAATTAAAAAATCAACACTATATGTTGCATCTTTACAATACTATGTGTTATTTTATTTTGCATACTAATTTTAATATTGTCGGAAATTTTAGGTTTTATTTTCTATTTGTATACAAATTCAGTTTTATTATTCATTTTGTTATTTAGCTATACCAGGTATATTATTTATCAAATGCAAACAGTAATTTCAGTATTTTGGAACCATAAAATTTATAATGTATTCTATTATCTTATTGTAACATTTTATTTATTTAGTTTTATTTTAATTCTACGTGTAAGTTAAGTGTTGACTATTAAATATTTAAAACAACAATCGTTATCATTTACATAAAAAAGTTTGCTCGCAATTAATTTGGCGTGTAAAGTGAGAATACCAGAAAGAACTCTTTCAATTAAAATATATTTTCTCACAACAAACACTATATTTGATAGCGCCGGGTCGAGTCGCCTTCAATAGAAAGAAGTCACTTCTATGCTCGCAAGCGGTTAATTTAGAAATTCGAAAAAGGTTTATTAAAGGTGTATGTTTGGAGCGCAGCGCTGTTAGGGTGTAAAACATGTACGGTGGGCGCTGCGGAAAAGAAAAGGTTAGAAGCGTTCGAAATGTGTTGTTACAGGCGAATGATGAGGATACCGTGGATAGAGAAGGTGATGAGGAAGTATCAGAAGGAATAGGAGAACAGAGGAGTCTATGGAAGTCAATAAGAAATAGGCGAGATAGGTTGGTAGGACACCTNGAAGGGCAAAAAAATATAAGGCGATAAAGTAGGAAATAATTAGGAAGTGTAGCGCAGCCAAGGAACAGTGGATTGATATGTGATGTAAAGAAGTAGAAGAAAAATTTGAAGGAGGTAAAACGGATGAAAAGGAATTTTATAGAAGTAGGGTACTATAGTAATAATATAAGAAACGAGGTAGGGGTCATCCTGATACAAAAAGAGGAAAAAGCAGACAGGTGGAAAGAATAGTTAGAGAACCTACACGCAGGTCATGAGTTAGGAGATATGTTAGAGAAGGAAGATAGTGTGGAGATAGGAGATAGATGAGCTAGGTTACCCCATAGGTAATGAGAGAAGATGTAGCATTAAGAAACTTAAAGAATAATAAGGCGCCAGGTATAGATAGGATACGGGCGCCAATTTTAAAACATGCAGAACAAGAAGTTAGAGATTACATTTACGAGACGAGGAAAGTCCCAGAGGATTGTGGTAGTAACCATACCTTAAAATAGAGATGTGGATAGGTGCGAGACATTTATAACAATTAGCTTAACTTCCCATGCGTTAAAAATCATAACTATAATTGTACAGAGAAGGATGGGAAAAGGACTATTATGGGAAGATCAATTTGGGTTTAGAAGAAATAGAGGAATGCGGGGGGGGGCATTCTAGCTTTACGTTACGGGTAACAATAGAGAAAACGATAGAAAAAAAAAGTGCGTACATAAGATTTGCAGATTTAGGAAAAGCTTTTGATAATGTAAAATGGGACAAGATGTTAAATATACTTAAAAATGTAGAGATGAGTTACAGAGATAGAAGAGTGCTTGTTGCATCTTTACAATACTATAAGTTTATTTTATTTTGCATACTAATTTTATTATTGTCGGAAATTTTAAGTATTATTTTCTATTTGTATACAAATTCAATTCTATTATTCATTTTATTATTTAGCTACAATTTTCAGGTATATATTATTTATCAAATGCAAACAGTAATCTCAGTATTTTTGAACCATAAATTTTATAATGTATTCTACTATCTTATTGTAACATTTCTTCCTTTGTAAAGTCACGTTCGCTATATTACTGTAATTTCCAAATTTAAATTCACTTATTTTGTCTGTACCTGAAATGGGGTATTGACCTGACTGACAGGGTCGCCTTGCACCCTCAATGTTATTGTTAACGCCCACTGGCGAAGCTATTTA